GAGAGAGAGAGAGAGAGAGAGAGAAGTGGGCAGGCAGGTAAACAGACAGGCTGACAGACGGATGGGCAGACAGACAGACAGACAGACAGACAGACAGACAGACAGAGAACATATCAAATTAGGGAGGAGAAAGCTACTAACAGAGAAAAAATATCTTAGCGCAGTGAAGTTGAAAAACAACAAGATCCGATCTAATAATGTATTTGTCTTTATCCCTTGGGGTGCCATCAGAGAAGCTATTGAGCAGGTAACTTTGAACCGGAGACTGTTTTCTACTCTGAGAGAGTTGTAATGTGAGACTACTGCGTCTAAGCAATAAAGCTACAGATGATTGCATCTCATTTGAATTGTTTTGTTTTGTATTGTGAGCTTTTTGTGTTTTCGTTTAGACCAAAGAAAACATTATACTGACTTAATTATGAAAGTCAATACTGTGACAGGGCAATCCACAGAGGAAAATAATAGACAGAAAGGAGAGAAGTAAGACCAACCTGCTATGTTTTCAACCACTCGTGACATGATGGCAGTCTAAATCTGTTTCTTAAATCATTAAGAGGTAAGCAACGAACGATGCCTTTAAAAAATGAGTGTAGCTCAAACACGTTAAGTAACAATCGTTGACACAGTTTGTTTCATTGAAATTGAAAAACGAAAAAAATGGTCGACAATAGTTTTAGTTTGAGTTTTACGACCCTTGCCAAACAAATTGGTCATATAAGTTCCAAAGATTAGAGGAATTACTAAAGGATAATATACAGATAAAAAAGGAGGAGACATAAGGACGATAGATATTTGATAAGAAAGAAGGGGCAAACCACGTCAAAGCACCCGCCAACCACCCAGTGTTACAAAGCTCTGATGTTTTGAATTAGACACCCAAGGACGACTCAAAGAGTCTAAAATTATTTTCAAAAGGCTTCAGAGTACTTACTGTGCACAATGGTCAAATCACGAAACTTGGTTCACATTGTATTTAGTTTTGGTATACACATTCAGGGCTGATTATTGAAGTTGTTAACTTCCTCGCACATGCACTAATAGGGCTCAAACACCACGAAAATGCTGGAATAAACAAATGTCCTACAGTAAAGAGCAGCAAATCCGGCAGACAAGTTTTTTCATGTGTTTTTTTTTTCTCTCTCTCTCTCCCTCCCTCTCTCACGTGTTAAGGAAGTCTGCAACAAGAGACAACGCCAAGTGGACGAAAGTAGATACCACCGCAGATAATTGTTTTGTCTATAATATTATAACGCGTGCACGTCACTCCACTCAATTGCACACCGTACGCTGTGGTTCGTCGGCTCTTTGTGAACGATCTGTCGCGGTATTGAACGCACGCGCTTGCCGGCGCTGAGCCTGTGTGAGTGTGAGATGAGGTCGAGGGTTGTAGCAGTAGGCTAGAGGTGCTCGTGGCGGTACGGATGGGAGATGGCGCTATGTGATGCTGCTGTCGTCTGCCCTGATATATTATGAAGAGAAGAGTGGAACAGAACATTCTTTCTTGGATAAAGAAGAAAGAGTCTGTTTTGTTGTTGAGTTGATTTTTTTTTTGTGTGCCTATGTGTGTGCTTTGTTTCAGTTTTTGTTTTGCTTCTGTTTTTGTTTTTGGTTGTTCTTTGGTTTGTTTGTTTTTTTGTTTGTTTATTGTTTTTGTATTTTTGAATTGCATTTAATTGGTGTTGCCTTTTTTTTCTTGAAATAGGAGGAGCAGTAACAGGGATGAATGAGTATACACTAATTACATATATCGGAAAGGTTGTGACTAAAGAAGACAAGTCTTGAGGAGTGCCAAAAAGGGGATTAAGGAGAGTAATTTATGACTTTCTTTTTCTTTTCAGAACAATGGTGAGGTCATTAGAAGGGAGGGTTCAGAGTGAAACAACTGGGCACATTCAATTTATGAAAGAGGAGGTTGGTTTGGTGGGGGGGGGGGGCAGGAACCATGTTGACAACTGAGGAGTGCTG